TTCCCCAACAGAGGTCCCTCTCTTTCTCTGCCTTGGCCCTCACAACTTGATGAATGTTTGTGAATGATTTGTCACACATCTTATTCTTATCCAAATCTTTCTTCATGTCAGCCAAAGCTAGTTGTGTGTTGCCTAGTTGGGCCAGAGCTTGCTCCTTCTCAGCCACCATTTGAGCAAAATCAACCTTAAAAAACCTCAAGTCTTTTTCCATCTTTTCCTTCTCTCTCACAACCCTAAGATTTTCTGCAGCATTAACTACATTGTCCTGGAGCCTAAGCTTGTTCTCATCTTCATACATGCCCAAATCCTAGATAGGCTCATCTTCAAAGGGGCAGGCCACTCAGGGTCAACCCACTCCAGATAGCTGCATTTAGGTATCTTCTACAAATTTGCAACAAAGAAAAATATTCAGTACAATGAAAAAAAGTAGTTATATACTGGCTCAACTACACTACAAATGTTCAGTTTACATGAAGAAGTTTACATGAAGAACAAACAGTTTACTTGATTTGGTTTTGTCAGCTTCCACACATTCAGAGTTACAAACAACAAGATTCAGTTAACTGACATATATAACCGAATGCATTCACTTAATTTAAAGAACTACAAACAAACAAAAAATTCAGAGTTACAAACAACAATCCACAATATTCACTTAATTTAAAGAACTACAAACAAAACAAAAACATTCAGTTAACTGACAGAAGCAAAAAACAACAACATAAGCACTAAATCTAGCTGTCAACACAACTGAATCAAACTGACCAAATGAATCAAACACTGAATCTAACTGCCAGAACTAAACTGCTGAATCAAACTGACCAAATGAGCTACTAACCTTCTGTGCACAAGCTAGGAATCTCCTCCCACTATCCACCGATTCAAATGCCACCAGCTTCTCACACACACATTCATGCTCACATCTAGAACTCAGATCTGTGGCCAGGCCGCTCCATTCCACACACAATATGGTGGCAGGTAGCTAAAACAAAAATAAATCAGCTTCATTTACTAACTAACAATGCACACCCAAAGAAAACCCTAACCTGCACTTAATTGCAGACAGACTCAGCGTCGGACGAACTGCCATAATCGCTTCAGGAAACCATGGCCACGAGCTGTGCAAATGTTCAAGGGAGGGGATGGGGGAAGGGACCTTGCTGCCGGCGACATAGGAGGGAGAGAGAGAGAGAGAGCTAGAGGGAGAGTGAGAGGATGGAGAATGGGGAACAGGAAGGAGAAAAGGGGGACATCAACGGTAGGTGGTGAGGTGGGGGAACGGGAGGAACGAGACCAGCGACGGGGTGCAGTGCGGGTTGAATCTAGTGGACACCAGGGGCCTTTGTGCAAAATTGCTACAGCTGACCGGTCCACCCCTTGGACTGCCACATGTCACGCTGTGAGTGGCTGTGGACCAAAACATCACATAGGGTGTCAAGTTTGTGGAGTCCTCAGTAACATTTTATAAGTTTTGGACTAAAACACCACATTCTGTGCAAGTTTGTGGACTTGGGGTGCTATTACCTCTTGCTGGATTGGTAGAGATGGTCGTCTTTCACCGGAAAACCCGGGCAAGGGGAAGGAAGAGGAGAGAAGCTTCTCTGTGGGCTGGCAACAGTGCCTCGAGTCCACGCACGGCGCAGTTGGGCGTGCACGTGAACCGCCGCCCCGTGCAACTGTCGGGGGCGGATTCCCGCGGTTTGTGCCTGGCTCAGTCAGTCCTCGACGCCGCACTGATCGATCCATCCATCCAGGTAAAGAAAAGAGAAGAAAAGAAAAGAAAAGATGAGAGCAGGGTGAGTAAAGTAGAAGGCACCCCGGCCCATCCGTGCAACTCCACGTAGCCGTAGCGGTTCCCTACCTAGATAGCTGCATTGCACGCACGTAAAGGCAGGGCGCATCCTTTGTGCGCGATCTCCCCCTCCCTCCACCTCGCTCGCGCCCCCCAAGGCCAGGTACGAGTAGGACGGCCGCTGCTAGCTACTACTAGTACTCTCCAGCCACGGTGAAACCAACCAGTTGATAGTACAAGGCTAGAAGCCTAGTAGTAGTAGAACGGGCCAGAACAAGCGAACCGTGCGAATTTCCCATCCCATGACCGGGAAGAAAAGTGCACGGTGTTGGGCAGGGCGAACGAACGAACGAACTCGGGGCATCTGATCACACGCACACGCGATGCTTTTCGTCGTGGTGGTCGCAAGCGTGCGCATCTGCCTTTCTCCGTGTCTCGACGTGTACAGGGCCGGCCAGCAACCCGTGCAGTCACGTACTCCTACGTAGACGCGGCGGCTGAGCTCACCCGTGAGCCATCCATCACCCACGACAGGACAAAAAACCAATCAGTCCAATTAGCCAAACCTCCCCGTGCTAATCCGTGGAGACACGCGTGGAAGACGTACGTACGTATGATTAGCGCTGTTTTGTCACAACCAAGCCAGCATGATTAGTACGTACTGCTCTCCCGAACCAACCAGCAGGGCACCTGCCTACCCTACTTATCAGGCTGGTCACAATGGGGAGGAACTTAGAAGTAACATCACACACTCCAATACAACTTTGTTTATGTGGCACATATTTAATGAAGAGAGAGGTGCTTGTGGTAACTAGCGAAGTTACCGGAACATCACACACTTCAAGAAACAATGAGTCTATAACCTAATAAATACATCGTTGCATGACACTACATAGATGTTCCTACCCACTATGGAGGTAGTAACATAGTCTAGGGAAGTGTGTAAGTTACTAGCTTATATTCTTGCCCATTGTGATCAGCCTCAGTACACACATGGGAGTACGCGCTCCTACCCTAGCAAGCACTTAACTCCAAACCCCGGCACCCAAATTAAAAGCCAGAAGCAAACAAGAGAAATTAAAGACTAGAGTTAGGCTGGTCACAATGAAGAGGAACTTCGGAGTAACATCACACACTTCAATACAACTTTGCTTATGTGTCACATATTTAATAAAGAGAGAGATGCTTGTAGTAACTAGCTAAGTTAGGCTGGTCATAGTGGGAGTAACATAGGTAGTAACATAGATGCCACATAAGCAAAAATGGTGATGTGGCAAGTAGTTAATGAGGAGAGAGGCAAATAGAGTAACATAATATGTTACCATCACATAGCGGTTTCCAATGCATAATGAGTCTACAAAGTAATAAATGAAGGCAACTATGTTACCACACCTATGACACTACCCACTATGAAGGTAGTAACATAGACTAGTAACATATATATATGTTACTAGTCTAAGTTACTCCCCACTATGACCAGCCTTAGGGCATCTTCAACAGTTATAAGATAGGTGTTGATAAATTTGCCACATAGGACATAGTGATGATGTGGCATGTATTAAATGTGGAAAGAGAGCAAAATTGTATGTAGATTAACCAACAACCTTTGCACAAGCTCCAAGGTGAAGTAGAGAGCAACCACGTTTATTTTTTCACCATCTATTGAATAGCTTGCATACAACCCATTGGAGTAGATGTATGATAGCTTGTTGGTTGATGACATGGACATTTTACCAACAAGACACACTCCAAAAAACGATGAGTCTATAACCTAATAAATACATTGTTGCATGACACTACAAAAATGTTCCTACTTACTGTGGAGGTAGTAACATAGTCTAGAAAAATGTGTAAGTTACTAGACTATGTTCTTGCTCATTGTGACCAGCCTTGGGGGAGTGATAGAAAAGCCCAGCTCAAAAGTGCCGGGTGGGCCCGCCCGGATGAGGACGAAAAGCAAGCTCCAGCCAAAGCAATCGAAGCAAAGAGAAGGGGCAAGGGAAAGCAAAGGGACCGAGGCGAGGCTAGGCTAGATCGAGGGACCGCCCGCGATTGCTACGCTTCGCGAGCGTGCTTGCCTGCCATTTCCTCCCGTCCGCCTCCGGCCCGACCCAATTCCTTCTCCACCCCCCCTCCCTCCTCCCCTACCACCACCACCACCACCTCCATCACCTTCTCTCCCCCTCCTCCCCCCCTAGCCAGCTAGCTAGCTCTCTTGCCGTCATCACACCGCCTCCTCCTCTCCTCTCTCTCTACTCCGCGGCGGCGCATCTCCATCGCCCATTCATTGTTCTTCGCCCGGCGGCGGCAGTGAGTCGACGCTCTAACGCAGCCCGGCGCCGGCGCCGGCGGGACTGGGCGTGCCAGAAGCGCGGCCGAAAACGCGGTGAGTTGGCAGGCCTCCCTCGCTCTTGTTGCGTGCGTGCGTCCGCATTAATGCGCCCTCTGGTGCGCGGTGCTGTTCCCTCTTGTGATGCTGCTGCTGCTGCTGCCGCCTTGTGGTTGTGAGGGTGGGGGTGACGTTAGTTACTGCGCGCAGCTCGCTCGCTCGCTCCGGGCGGAGTGAAAGGCCCGCTCTTTTTGCTCGCAGATCTGTTTCGGCGGTGGTGGTGCGCGGCGGTGCTGTTCCTGGCTGGGTCCCTCCGTCCGACGGGCCGTGGGCTCCCGCGATTTGAGGGGGTCGCAGCGGTCCCTCCACGGTTCTTATTGGGTGTTCCATCTTTTTCTGCAAATATGGTGCGATTGCTAGCAGGCTACTCCTGTTCCGGGTTCCCTCGACTGGTCCGAGCCTGAGAATCAGGAGTAAGCATTATTTTCAGGCGGGTGATTCGATTCTCGTCGCTTTTCAGCGATTCTTCCCGGTGCTAGATTCTTGATTTGGAGTTGCTCAGTTCGCTCCCGAATTCGATTCTTAGTATAGCTTTCATTCCTGTTTCGGCTTGTCGTGTTAACGTTTTCAGTGTCCATTTCTCTGAAAACGAAGGGGAAGCAAAACAGAGTACTACTTAGTTTCCTGCAGATAGACAGATAGTTACGCTGTTAGAATCTTTCCTGATTAGAAGCATTTCTCTTGCGGCATGTTCTTACAATTCCCTGCTTGCATTCTGTTTCAGGAAGTCTGCAAGCCGCGGAGATGCACAAGATTATAGCACTTGTTCTTCTCATTGTTCGGCTCTGAGCATTGGTTGATTCGTGAAGTGAAGATAGCATGGGCCCTGGGACGGCATCCGCGTCCTGGGGTTTGCAACTCGGCGTGGCGCTGGTCTTTCTGCTGGCCTCTGGCTGCCAGGGGCTGAGCCATGAGGGCTGGCTTCTCCTGGCGCTCAAGAGCCAGATGATTGACAGTTACCACCACCTTGACAACTGGAACCCCAAGGATCCATCGCCGTGCGCGTGGAGTGGTGTCAACTGCTCCTCCTCCTCCTCGTCGTCGAGGCTAGCAGTGGTGTCTCTCAACGTCAGCAACATGAACCTGTCGGGCACCGTCGGCCCCGGCATTGGCGGTCTTACCGAGCTGACTAGCCTCGATCTGTCCTTCAATGAGTTCTCTGGTGCCATCCCTCCGGACATCGGGAATTGCTCAAAACTGGTGTTGCTCAACTTGAATAACAACAATTTTGATGGTACAATCCCCCCTGAGCTTGGGAAGCTGGCCATGCTGACCGGATGCAATCTGTGCAATAACAGGCTCCATGGTCCAATACCTGATGAGATTGGTAACATGTCATCACTTCAAGACTTGGTGGGGTACAGTAACAATCTCTCCGGTTCTATACCGCATTCGGTCGGCAAGCTCAAGCACCTCAAGACCATCCGGCTGGGACAGAATCTTATATCTGGCAGCATTCCTGCCGAGATAGGCGAATGCCGCAACCTGACCGTGTTTGGTCTTGCGCAGAACAAGTTGGAAGGGCCTTTGCCAAAAGAGATTGGGAGATTGGGTCTCATGACAGACCTCATCCTGTGGGGAAATCAGCTTTCTGGCCCCCTTCCTCCAGAGATCGGGAATTGTACAAATCTCAGGACTATTGCCCTTTATGATAATGATCTGGTTGGTCCTATACCTGCAACAATTGGGAACATTACTTATCTTGAGAAGCTGTATCTTTACAGGAATTCGATAAATGGTACCATTCCATCTGAAATTGGGAAGCTTTCTTTTGCAGAGGAGGTTGATTTTTCAGAGAATTTCTTAACGGGAGGGATACCAAAGGAGTTGGGCAACATACCAGGGTTGTATCTACTCTACCTCTTCCAGAATCAGCTTACTGGCTTTATTCCTAGTGAGTTGTGTGGATTGAGGAACTTGAGCAAGCTTGATCTTTCGATCAATTCACTCACTGGCCCGATTCCAGCCGGATTTCAGTACATGACCAAGCTAATCCAGTTGCAACTCTTCAACAATATGCTATCAGGGGACATACCTCCAAGGTTTGGCATTTACAGTCGACTGTGGGTGGTGGATTTCTCAAACAACAACATTACAGGGCAGATACCTAGAGATCTTTGTAGGCAGTCAAACCTTATTTTGTTGAATCTGGGGTCTAACAAGTTGACTGGAAACATACCTCACAGAATCACCAGCTGTAAATCCTTGGTGCAGCTTCGTCTCAGTGACAACAGTCTGACAGGAAGCTTCTCCACTGATCTCTGCAATCTGGTGAATTTGACAACAATCGAGCTGGCTCGAAACAAGTTCAATGGCCCTATTCCTCCTCAGATAGGGAACTGCAATGCTCTGCAGAGGCTTAACCTTGCAAATAATTATTTCACATCTGAGTTGCCCCGAGAAATAGGGAAATTGTCAAAGCTTGTCGTCTTCAATATCTCATCTAACAGGCTAGGAGGAAGCATACCACTGGAGATCTTCAATTGTACAACATTGCAGCGTCTTGATCTCAGCCAGAATAGCTTTGAAGGTTCATTGCCAAATGAAGTTGGTAGACTGCCTCAACTGGAGCTTCTCTCGTTCGCTGATAATAGGCTATCTGGGCAGATGCCACCTATTCTTGGTAAACTTTCACATTTGACAGCACTGCAGATTGGTGGCAATCAATTCTCTGGTGGAATACCAAAGGAGCTGGGGCTGCTCTCAAGCTTGCAGATTGCCATGAATTTGAGCTATAATAATCTCTCTGGGAATATACCATCAGAGCTTGGCAGTCTTGCATTATTGGAAAGTTTGTTTCTCAATAATAACAACCTGACAGGTGAAATCCCAGATACATTTGTAAACCTGTCAAGTTTGCTTCAGCTCAATGTCTCGTACAATAATCTCACCGGTACTCTTCCCCCTGTGCCGCTTTTTGACAACATGGTTGTGACCAGCTTTATTGGAAACAGAGGACTCTGTGGTGGACAACTTGGCAAGTGTGGATCTGAGTCACCCTCCTCTTCCCAGGCATCCGACTCGGTCAGTCGTCCTATGGGCAAGATCATAGCAATTATTGCCGCCATTATTGGAGGAGTATCACTTATTCTTATTGCCATACTTTTGCACCATATGAGGAAACCATTAGAAACAGTAGCCCCTTTGCAAGACAAGCAAATTCTATCTGCTGGGTCTAACATTCCTGTTTCTGCGAAGGATGCGTATACATTTCAGGAACTGGTCTCTGCTACAAATAATTTTGATGATAGTTGTGTCATTGGACGGGGTGCTTGTGGGACTGTGTACAAAGCCGTCCTGAAGCCTGGGCAGATAATTGCGGTAAAGAAGTTGGCTTCAAACAGGGAAGGAAGCAACACGGATAACAGCTTCCGTGCGGAGATCATGACTCTTGGAAAGATAAGACATCGTAACATTGTGAAGCTGTACGGTTTCATCTATCACCAGGGTGCAAACCTTTTGTTGTATGAGTACATGCCAAGAGGCAGCCTTGGAGAGCTACTTCACGGAGAATCTTCTTCTTCACTCGATTGGGAGACACGCTTCACGATAGCCCTTGGGGCAGCTGAAGGGCTTTCATACTTGCATCATGATTGCAAGCCTCGGATCATCCACCGTGATATCAAGTCAAATAACATTTTACTTGATGACAACTTTGAAGCTCATGTTGGTGACTTTGGGTTGGCTAAGGTAATTGACATGCCAGTCTCAAAGTCTATGTCTGCAATTGCTGGTTCATATGGCTATATTGCACCAGGTGAGTCTTAAGTTTTCTCCACATCCTACAAAGCAAATTCCATTTGCATGTCACTGCTATCTTGCCCTATATGCTTTTTTTTTAACTTGAATCTGTAGTTAAGCGATGAATGGTCAACAAAGTATTGATCCAGTTCTTTTCATTTGATCAGAGTATGCGTACACCATGAAGGTGACTGAGAAATCTGACATATACAGCTATGGTGTCGTGCTGTTGGAGCTGCTAACCGGCCGTGCGCCTGTGCAACCGATAGAATTGGGAGGTGATCTGGTAACATGGGCCAAAAATTACATCAGGGACAATTCTCTGGGTCCAGGGATATTTGACAGTAATCTTGATTTGGAAGATAAAGCCGTCGTCGATCATATGATCGAGGTCTTGAAAATTGCTCTGCTATGTAGTAACCTGTCGCCGTACGAGAGACCGCCGATGCGGCATGTTGTAGTTATGTTAAGCGAGTCCAAAGATAGGGCCCGGGCGAGCTCGTCGTCGCCTGCTTCTGATAATTCTTCGAAGAAGGATAGCTCATGATGTATTTATATATATAAGTTCAGTTAGTGAAAGGCAACCAATACCAGTTGCTCCCTTTCCCCTGTTGCTTATGGTGGGGATGTTGGGAGCATGCACTCATTCTTTCTGTCAATTGTTTTCTAGTGGGATAAATAATACTGACTGATAACAGTGGGATTGTGTATGTATGTTAGCCTCTCTGATGAAGAAGGTAGTCTCGAGTCCAGACAGTAACCCCGAGTAGTTCAGCCAGGGTTCCTCCCTGGACGTGGCGCTGTGCCTCTTGCTTAGATTTGGGTTTAGTATTGAGATTTCTCAATGTTGAAATATGAATGTGCTTTTGCTGGAACAACATGGTCTTTCTGAACTTGTGACACTCCCAGCTGAGTTGTATCTGAGCTTCCTCGGTGCAATTTTTATCTTAACTTTCTGAGCTTATGAATGTGCTTTAGCGGCAGTGAACTTCCTCAAGGTGCCTCCAGGGTCACTCTACTCCACCGAACAAGCCACACCCGTCAGAGGTCAGACCACTACCAATCTACCATGGCAGCAGAGGAAGCAGGGAGCCGGGACCCGCACGTCGTCCTCTTCCCCTTCCTCGCGCGCGGCCACATCCCCGCCTTCCTCCGCCTCGCCGGCCTCCTCCACGAGCTGCGCCCGGGCATCACCGTCACCCTCGTCTCCACCGCGCGCATCCTCGATTCCATCTCCCTCCCGCCCACCAACCCTCCTATCCGCCTCCACGCGCTCCCGTTCGCGCCCGCGGACCACGGCCTGCCTCCCGGCGCCGACTCCCTCGCCGACCTCCACGTCCACCAGTTCATCACCTTCTTCCAGGCGTCCGAGTCCCTCCGCCCCGCCTTCGAAGCGTTCGTCTCCGGCATCCGGTCCCCGGTCTGCATCGTCGCCGACGCCTTCTTCGGCTGGACGGCGGACGTCGCGCGCGCGCACCGCGCGTTCCACGCGGTCTTCCTCACCGGCGGCGCCTTCGGCTTCGCCGTCTTCTTCTCCGTGTGGGAGCACCTGCCGCACAGGCTCGCCGCCGGCGACGAGTTCCCTCTGTCCGATTTCCCCACCGTCGTCCTCCACCGCACGCAGATCCCGCGGTACATGCTCGCGGCGACCGGGTCCGATCCCTGGTCGGCCTTCTTCCGGCGGGTCATCCCGCTTTGCCGCAAGACCGATGCGGTGCTCGTCAACACCGTCCAAGAGCTCGAGTCTTCCGGCCTAGACATGCTCAGGAGGACCTTCGGCGTCCAGCCATGGCCAATCGGGCCGATTCTCGCGGCGCCGACGACTCCGTCGGACTCGCATGACGATGCCGGCATCATCCGGTGGCTGGACGCGCACCCGCCGCGCTCGGTCCTGTACATATCCTTCGGCTCGCAGAACAGCATCAACGCCGATCAGATGACGGAGCTGGCACTGGGCCTGGAGGCCAGCGGGCGGCCGTTCCTTTGGGTCCTCCGGCCACCGCTGGGGCTCGACGCGAAGGACGGATTCAGGCCGGAGTGGCTCCCGGCAGGCTTCGAGGAGCGAACGGCCGGGGCCAAGAGGGGACTGCTGGTGCGCGGCTGGGCGCCGCAGATGCGGATCCTGGCGCACCCGTCCACCGGCGCGTTCATGAGCCACTGCGGGTGGAACTCCATCCTGGAGAGCCTGTGCCACGGCGTGCCGGTGATCGGGTGGCCGCTGGGGGCCGAGCAGTTCTTCAACGCGATGCTGGTGGTGGAGTGGGGCGTCTGCGTGGAGGTGGCGCGGGGGAACATGGAGAGCTCGGTGGTGGCGATGGGGGCCGTGGCCGACGCCGTGGGGACGGTGATGGGGGAGACGGAGAAGGGCGGCGAGATGAGAAGGAAGGCGGAGGTGATCGCGCGCGCGATGGCGGCCGCTTGGGAGGGACCGCGTGGGTCGTCGGCGGTGAGCTTGGAGGGGTTCCTCGGATGCGTTGAGATTTGAGACGTCCGTGCGTTGAGATTTCCGCCTCGATGCTGTTACGGGGGGATTTTCCTGCAAAAAAAACAACGGTTTTGCTAAAACTCGGGCTGTGTTTGACAACAAAGCAGTGTAAAAACTGTGGTATTGGAAAACTACGGTATTTTAAACTACAGGCACTAGATACCACAGTTTTCACATATTAAAGTATTCTGTAGTATTGAGAATACTATGACGTGTTTGGCTGGTGCTCATTTACAAAGACATAAATTAGCTAGATAGCCGTTTTATAGTTGCAACATCCACGTTCTTAGCTGGCCTTCTGTTGAATCTCTCAAAAAGAAATGAATTTTGGTGTAAATCAATTAGGGATATGAGAGGGGATTTGAGAGAGGAGTTCACAATACAGAGAACTGGAGCGGCGGGGTGAGCTGCCGTCCATTTCTTTCCTTATCTTTATCTTCCTTCTTTACACTCTTGCCCCCCTGACATTTATAATTTACACATTAGTATAAAATCATACCAAATACAAATTTACCACTAAACTCAACACTCCCCCTCAAGATGGGGCAAACACATCATATAACCCCATCTTGCTACATAAGCTAGAAAACACTTTTTCAGCGAGACCTTTGGTCAGAATATCCGCTAGTTGGTTTGAAGAGCTCACATAATGCATACATATTATCCCTTGGTCAAGTTTCTCTTTGATAAAGTGTCGGTCAATTTCTATGTGCTTTGTTCTACCATGTTGAACCGGGTTATGTGCTATATCTAGCGCAGCTTTATTATCACAATACATCATCAATGGTCTTGCCTGGAATAGACTCAACTCCATCGGTATGATTTTTAGCCATAAGACTTCACATACTCCATGAGCCATAGCTCTGAATTCTGGTTCTGCAGTGGACCTTGCAACAACATTTTGTTTCTTACTACGCCAAGTAACTATGTTTCCTCCAACAAACGTACAATATCCTGACGTAGAGCTTCTATCATCTAATGAACCGGCCCAATCAACATCAGTATAACATTCTATTTGTAAATTGCCACTTGACTTATACAATAAACCTCGACCTGGGCACCCCTTTAAATACCGAATGATTCGATTTACTGCATCCATGTGGTGAGTTTTAGGACTATGCAAAAACTGGCTCACCACGCTTACGGCAAAAGCTATATCAGGATGAGTATGTGATAAATAGATCAAACGGTCAACAAGTCTCTGATATTGCTCCCGGTCAACAGGTTCCCCTGACTCACTAGTCAATCGGTGGTTTTTTTCAATTGGTGTTAATTCTGGACGACACCTAGACATACCAGTTTCTGACAACAGATCTAGCACATATTTTCTTTGAGATAGATAGATGCCTCTTGAGCTTCGTGAGACTTCAATTCCAAGAAAGTACCTCATTTCTCCTAGATCCTTGACTTCAAACTCGTTCCTCAAATGTTGCTTCACTCTTTCAATACCTTGATCATCATCTCCTGTAATAATAATATCATCAACATAGACAATTAATATCGTCAATTTTCCACCACATCTTTTATAAAATAAAGTATGGTCGGCATTGCTCTGGCTGAAACCCAATTTCAGCATAGCTTTTCTAAACCGACCAAACCACGCACGAGGAGATTGTTTTAGGCCATACAGTGAACGACGGAGTTTCAAGACCTTTCCTTCAGTTTGTATCGTGTTGAAACCTGGTGGTATATGCATATAAATTTCCTCCTGAAGGTCTCCATGTAAGAATGCATTTTTTACATCCATCTGAAACAAATTCCATCCAAGATTAGCTGCACAAGACATCAAAGTTCTTACTGTATTCATTTTTGCTACAGGGGCAAATGTTTCCTCATAATCAACACCACGAGTCTGTGTGTAGCCTTTGGCCACCTACCGAGCTTTATACCTTTCTATTTTACCTTCAGGGTTACACTTAATGGTATAAACCCATTTGCATCCGACTGGTTCCTTGCCCTTCGGCCATTTTACCAAATGCCATGTATTATTCTTTTCTAGAGCATACATTTCCTCCATCATTGCTGATGAAGCTATGTACCTAGGGTAGGGTCATGGACCTGTCCCAACTGCCCTACCCAAGGACATCTATAGAAGAAATCACCTTTCAATCGACTTGGAGGTGTTCCACTCGACAAACTCGAAGACGCTCGACCAAGAAGCAATCACTCGACCAAGACCAAACCACTTGACGGCCAGGAGACCTAAAGGCACTCCGCATGCTAACGGTCGGTTATTAAGTAGCCTTTATGGTCATCATAGCACTTTATTAGGGGCGTTACCAGTAACGCCCGACCTTAATGTATTTAAACCCTGCACAACTGAGGGCCGGAGGGGTCCGGCGAACTCTATATAAGCCACCCCCCTCCTCAGTGTAAAGGGTTCGCACCCCTGTAAACCATACACGCATAATCTAGTCGACCGCCTCTGGGCTCCGAGACGTAGGGCTATTACTTCCTCCGAGAAGGGCCTAAACTCGTAAACCTCGTGTGCTTAGAACTTCTCCATAGCTAAGATCTTGCCTCTCTATACCTACCCCCCTACATTACTGTCAGACTTAGAACCACGACAGTTGGCACCCACCGTGGGGCCGGTGTTTTAGCGATTTGTTGGAGGAGTTGCGATCTTTTTCGATCCAAATCATCATGGTTTCTGGCGGAGTTTTGGTGGAGGGCCGCGAGATCCGTCTCGGCGCGCTCACGTTCATCGCCGACGACTCCGCTTGGCTTCAGGAGGCTCCGCTCGACGTGGACGCACTCCCCGTCCGCGGGGCAACGCACTTTAGCGCGTGCGTCCACGGCGTTCTCTTGCGGCAACCGTCGACCCCCTACCGGTCGGCTCTTGTGTTGTCCTCCCTCCTTGTTTCCCGCCGGCGAAGCGCTCCGGTCGGTCGAGACTTCAGCGGTGGGTGAGACACGCGGTGGCACGCCAGTCGGCCACCCCTCAAGTCGCGGCGATCGAGCCCGACGAATCCCTCTACGGCCTGTTCGATCTGTCGACTGGCTCCGCAGAGACCGCATCCGAGTGCGACAGCAGTGATCCGGCGGCGGAGGTTCTGATGGTCGATGGACCGCCCAGTCCTCCCGGTTTTCCCCGCACCGACGGAGGCGCAGGTGGAGGCGACCCGTCGCGTCCCCATGAGGAATATCTCCCCGAGCCTCTCACGTCTCTGCAGAGAGAAGACCTTCGTCGCCGGAACATGGATGCACTGCACACTCCTATCGTTGGAGAAACCCTCGAGGCTCGTGCCTTGGAGGACGCGCGCCTGGCAAACTTGGCCGAGCGCACTCGACTGGAGAACCTCCAGCGAGCACTCGACGAGCGTGCACGACAACGGGTTCCGGAATCCATTCGACGTCAACTCTTTCCGCCCCCGCAGGTATATCGAACTCCGATTCAGAATTTAGCAGCTGCAGCCCGTATAGCAGAGTCGATTTAGCCTTCCCAGTCGGAGGCTGGCAGAGGCTTACTGCAGATCAGAGCGTTACTCCGGGCAGAAGGAGACCAGAATTCCGCTGTTTCTCAGTCGCGGAACAGAATTCATAGCAGATCCGTTGCTGCAGACACAGTCCAGTTGGCTCATAGCCCAAGATCGCCCCCGAGGCGTGAGGGACGTGGGGACCGGCGTAATCAGTACGGGGACCATGAAAAATATGATCACCGATTCGATCGTGATGGTCGACGTCGAGTGCCCACCCCTCCTCCGAGGAGTGGGTCGTATGCGCCTCGACAGCAGGATGACAGGCGCCCTCATAGTGTTGGGCGAAGGATTCTAGTCGACCTTAGGGAGCCAGGCTTTGATGCGAGATCCATTCTCGTTCAAGGTTTGGTCGACAGGAACAGAGCTCACCGAGAAGGTCATGACAGAGATGCACCTACCAGCAGCAGAGTACATGTTTCGGGGCCAGAGTGCTTTAGTAGAGCCATCAGGGCCGCTGTGATTCCTCCCAACTTTAGGTTGGCGACTGGAGTCAGTAAGTTCACTGGTGAGTCCAAGCCCGATACTTGGCTTGAAGATTACCGAGTGGCCGTCCAGATTGGCGGCGGCAATGATGAAGTGGCCATGAAGCACCTGCCTCTCATGTTGGAGGGCTCGGCCAGAGCGTGGCTGAACCAGTTAGCGCCCAGCAGCATTTACAGTTGGGAAGATCTCACCCGAGTGTTTGTCACCATATTTGAAGGAACATGCAAGCGACCGGCAGGGCTGACGGAACTGCGGTCTTGCGTGCAGAAGCCGAATGAAACTTTGAGGGATTACATCCAGAGATGGATCACGTTACATCACACGGTAGAGAATGTGCCTGACCACCAAGCAGTCTGTGCCTTCAAAGAAGGCGTCAAGTACAGAGAACTGAATCTGAAATTCGGTCGAACCAGAGATATGTCTCTGAATCGGATGATGGAGATTGCCACCAAGTACGCTAATGGTGAAGATGAGGATCGACTCAGGAGTGGCAAGCTCAAGTCAGTCGCTCAAGAAACCGGAGGAAATTCCAATCGGAAACAGAAGCGGAAAGCCGAGCCAGCTTCTCCTGGGGAAGCCTTGGCCGTAACTCAAGGAAAGTTTAAGGGGAAACCCAAAGGACCTTGGAACCCCAAGAAGGTTAAGGACCAGGACAGAAATGATGTGTTGGATTTACCATGTCACATCCACACCAAGAAAGATGAAGAGGGCAATTTCATTTACCCGAAACATACCACTCGACAGTGTCGACTTTTGATCCAGCAGTTCCAGGGCAAGCAGCCCAAAGATAAGGAAAAGGAGTCAGACAAAGTTGAGGACAAGGAAGATAGTGACGATGGATACCCCCAGGTAAATCCACCCTGATGATTTTTGCTGCTGTTGAAAGCAAAAGTCGACTGAAAGTTATCAACCGAGAGGTGAATATGGTTGCTCCGGCAACACCCAGTTATCTGAAGTGGTCTCAGACTGCCATCACATTCGACCAGTCCGATCATCCAACGCACATTGCCACCCCTGGGAGGCAAGCTTTGGTGGTCG